CCCCCCTCTCTCTCTCCTCTCTCTCTTTCTCTCTCTCTCTTTCTCTCTCTCTCTCGCTCTCTCTCTCTCTCTCTCTCTCTCTCTCTCTCTCTCTCTCGCGTGTATTTCTTCACTACCTTGTCAGTGTTAGTATATTATCTGTCTGAATGTGAGTCAAACTATTTCTCATTCTAATTTAACAACCAAACTAATGTTTAAAACATGCTTTGACATTTAAATCGTATAATTTTAATAGTCGTCTTGTACACCATTTACAACATGTTTATGCAAGGTGATTAAGATCTATACATTCCCCAAAACAGATTCCACCGCGCTGCCTCACATTTCTATCTTCACAACAACATTCCTTATAGCCACAAAAGTGCATAAACGATCTTTACACCGCAGTTAATTCTCACGATTATGCTGCACTCTCTGGTACGACTTTTAATCATTACCGTATGTGAGGCAGCGTAGTGAAGCCAGGCACTCGTCAGAATAAATCAAAGTGGAGAAATTGGCCTTTTCCGCAGGGTTGTGAATTTTTATCGAATTATCGTCGTTTGGGTCAATACCCTTCATACCTACTAAAGAACACATTTCTGTGTGGTTTTGACTGGGGGGGGGGTTGCCCTTTTCCGCCATGGTCTAGTTGGATGGCTTTCGTTGACGATGTTATTTTGTGACTTTTCAAGAAAGTTGCTTTGCTTTGCTTGATTCATTATGCTTTGGCGATTTTAAGGCTTTCTAGACAATTTCTTTTGATTTTGGAAAGAGTTTAGAGCTTCTACCCTTTATTCTTTAGGAAGAATAGTTGTTTTTTCCGCACTTTCCTTTAGTATAACAACCTTTCAGCTGTCTTGTTTAATCATGGGTATATATTCTTTGTTATATTTTCTTTTAGCATGAGCTTTGCGCGATGCGCTATTTTTATCTTTAGTTTGAAAGTGTAGGGTGTGGCTTGAAACTGCAACGGAGACATCAATGTGTAGTGTCCCCAAAGAGCATTCTTCAATGTGGGCTCTTTGAGAAGCTTTCAGTGTTTTACCACAACTTCGTTCCTGTCACATGACAAGCGCCTTAGTACCATGTCATCGTGTTTGTTATAATAAATGAGAGGGCTCTATCTCTTATTCAGTTCTGATCGACATACTAAGTGTCTGGGTTTTAATTTCGAATTTATTGTTGTGCATTTTTGTCTGGGTTTTTTATTAGCCTTGATTTTCGACAGCAATAAGGGATTCTTTTTTTTTTTTTTGTGAGTGTTGATTGTGACAGCAATTGTAAATTGTGTAGTATGCCCGATTTAAAGCGGTTTATGTCATTGAGGTTCAATTCTGCTTTGACTCAATTTCGCAGGATCAACTGGGATTTGGTTGTTGTTGTTTTGTTTTTGTTGTTGTTGCTGTTGTTGTTGTTGTTCTTGTTGCTGTTGCTACTTTTGTTTATCTTGTTGCCGTTGTCGTTGTTGTATCCCATCATTCATTACAGAAAACAAATGTGACATAATACAAAACAACCTCCGAGTCTCTGCTGGAACAAGAGTACTACTAAAATATCTCCTGTCTCTAAAACCGACCCATACTATTGCTCTAAAATAACAGTTTTCTATTTTTCTTTACACCCATAGGCCTATAGAAAATTCTCTGCAAATCCGTGTAAATTAACCGACACTTTTTTTTCTTCCCATGAAGAAAAGTTATTTCATGTGTTGTGTCTTTTCTTTTTCTTCGCTAATCCAAAAACTTCTCAGGATGAAGGGGAAATCCCAGCCCGCACCCTCTTTTTACTTTACTGTCTTGGGTTAACAAAATGAAGCCCACTAGTGTGCTAGATCTTGCATTGACCTTTAATAGCCTTTCAACGAAATGAAGTGGACAACCTTGAAGAAAAACGTTTTTGTTTCTGTTTTGAAAAGTGCAGACAAAGCATTACAAAAAAAACAAAAAAACTCTTCTCTCCCAATGCCATCAAGCGACAAAAATTTTGCTTGAATAGCCAATTAACCAACATCCCTTATCAGTGCTGATGGATTGTATATTATATTTTTTTCTTCTGGAACGTGAGTGTTTAATTATTGCTCATCAAAAAAGGTTACAAAAGCGTATGAGGTGGGTTTTGAGAGAAAATCTTGAGCCTCCAACTTTTCCATTTCTCTCCTCCATCTCGATCGTTCTCTCTATTTATTTCATTCGATCTTTCTCATTTTATTTTTCTCTTCTCTATCTATCTATCTATAAGCGCCTGCTCTCTCGCTCTTGCTCTCTCTCCCTCTCGTTCTTTATCTCTCTCTCTCTTGCTCACTCGCTCTTGCTCTCTCTCCCTCTCGCTTTCTCTCTCTCTCTCTCTCTCTCTCTCTCTCC